ATTACCTGCTTCATCCCATATTCAGCCCAAACACTTCAATCTCTAACCAAATCTTAACCACCTTGAACAGATGATTTCTAAGCTGAGAACTCAGCTCCTGTCTCAACACACTTCCAACCACATCCAGCTCTGTGGAACACTGTTATTGGGCATTGGGCTGGTAAGAAGGTATAAAATACCTACCCTGAGGGTATTAACCCAAAAGTTTCATTTCCTAGCTGCTCTCAAACCCACAGGTGGAAAGATGTCTTAAGAAAAGAAGGAATGTAACTAAGCATGATACTTTTGCACCACATTATGCCAGTTTTGCCATTTAGGTAAAACCAAAAAGATTATAAACTATTATAGCTTCTGTAACCCTTTGCTTTTCAGGTGTTCAGCCTCTTAAATTTATTCTTTCTCCTTAGAAACTCCTCAAGGATATTCTATATGTTTCTCGTAACTACAAGTCAAAGGGCAAACAGATTGCAATGGTCACAATAAGGCTGACTAGAGGACAATCTTCTCCCTCCCTGGTAGTAAAGAACTCAAAACCTCAGAGTTATGGCTGTCCCAGACATACATATATTTATAGACATACTTATACATGCACACACCTCTACATATGTTTTTCTGAACAACATTGTCTGGAAATCTTTCTGGTCTATTCAGTGTTTGAATGTCCAATTTTCCTCACAAAGTCACATTAGCTGTGCTTTTACAAGCTTGGATTAAAGCCTTTTATTTGCTCCTCATCTTTCCAACCATTCTTGGCTTCTTTAGACTTTTTCCTCTGACTTAATTGGTATTTGTACTGGTCCTCCCAGCATTGACAAACTCCATCTGCAAATCAGCAATGATTTTATTCTTTTTAGATCATTATTGGAAATGTCTAATGCCATCAGGCCTCTTGTAGAATACCTCTGAAAATGCAGCTGTTTCATGATTATTTCCTTTGATAACTATTTTGAGGTCTATTGTTACCCAGGTCTTAAGCCATTAGTTCATTCTTTGCAAGAGAGTCATAGGGAGACTTTTGCAATCAGAACAACATTGGAAGTGTATCTATAGTAAAGAAGTTTAAACATGGAAGGTATTCATATTTACCCTTTTCAACCACATTTTTTTTCCCCTCTGGAAAATAAAACAAGTGCAAATAATTAGTTGAAAAATAAAGGACCAGTTCCTTCCCAGTCCTGCACTTATAATCCAGACCATAGCTGTCAGATACCAGCCAGGGATTTCAGTTCTTCCAGTTCCTCTTTTCTGTAGTGGTTCATAACTATCCGGAGAGTCAGGCTTTGGAAGTCCCTTAACTTACAGCCCAGATTTATTCAACAGCCACTCAGATTTTAAGAATAATTATTTTTTCCTAGAACTTCAATGAGTGTTCACATGCAGAAAACAAAATGCACCCTGTTTTTTTTTCCAAATGAGAATCACACCAGGCTGTGTGACATCTATTTTTTTAAGTCAGCTGACTTACTGTGTAAACAAAAGAGCCTTCAAGAAAGCAAAGACAGATTAAAGGATCTACCAGTACTTGAAATATTTCCCACCACTCCTTCTTTTAAGTGCATTCTCCAGCCAGATTCCAAAACCAAAAGAAATATATTCCTTGAAATTATTGCTGCAGACTCTTGTAAGTGGGACTATCTCCATCCTAGGATGCAGACCAATCTGCTCACTTGAGGGGGCCACATGAATTCGTAAGTTTGCTTCTGTCTGGGATGAGTAATTTCCTTTTCGATGCATTCATTCTGTTATCCATTTTGACAATGTCACCCATTTCTACAATATTATCCTGAAAGTTACTTTGATAAGTTTTATTCTCTACAAAACCAAAAGAATGTAATAAAACTAGCCATTAACACTTGGTTACTGTGGAGATCTATCCAATAATTTATATAAAACTAATGTCAAACTGTATTAGTAGTAGCTCTCCAGAATATCCACCATCATACTGCTGGGATATTGGGTGAACAATAGAGTTCTTGCAATTGGCAGGGACATCCATAGTGCTCCAACTTGCTGAAAATGAACATCATTGCATACAGATCTTCTCAGTAAGTATTAGCCACGTTTCATTTCAAATTGTTGTTAAACTTTATTGATCCCAAAACATTAATCGACAAAACAAACTACTTCCATGAACATCCATGAAATATTCCTTCATACAAGAATTCATTGCCTCCCCGCCAACTCCAATTTTGGAAAAGTATTTAGCCAACACTTTTCTGGTTTTGTCCTGCATTGTCATTAAAATCTTGCCCTGTCCACTTCCAATAATGATCTTGTAATTTATAATAATATGCATTATTTTGTTCCTAAGGCATATTAAAATGCTTCCTTTGAATTGTGCGTGGCCCTGATACATTTAGATTTTCCCCTGACATCTTTACTTTCTCTAAATAATCTTCCCCAATTCAGAGTCTATATTTTCTATGAGGTGTTCTCCACTTCCTCATTCTCCATTTCCTTTTCATTTACTTGCTTTAACTTCTATTTGCTGCCTTTACTGCTTGAATGAACAAATCAAAGTCATCTTCATTCTTGGTTTTGATATGCTGCTCAATATGTCTTCTTTAAATTTGTGGATTTTTCCATTCACATTCCTTTACTTTTTTTTCCCTGTCAGACTTTGCTTTATTACTGTTCCATGCTGAAATGATATATAGAGAGCAGTCATCAGACAGTGATTAATTAATCTCTGTGGATATAGAGACCTCCAAATCAGAGTACCTTTTATGTTAAAATAGATAAAATTTCAAAAAGTTTATTTCTTTTCACTGCTGTCTACATGAGATCAGTGTCATATTCTTGCCAGACTGAAGAACACCCATGCATCTTCCAGTAACATGTATTTTTTAGGTTGTCATGATTTCTGGCCAAGAAAGTATTCCGTGATCAATGATATAACCTGTTGCTATGTAACATCCCAAACAGAATTTATTTTTTGGCCATTGTAGCCAATTTCAAAGCAGAGCTGATGGTATCAGTGTTTAAAAACAAGCTTCCTAAAACTGAAGAGTAGTGTCTCAAAGGCACTTATTGCAGTCCCTGTGGACATGGCTCACAGGAAACAGGTGTCTTACTGAAACACTTCTTAGTAATTCCTTTCTGATGAAAGGACATACCCTTGGTGTGCATTTGGGTCTCATTTCAAGGTGGAACCTTCCTCCTACCTGATGGATACCACCTGTCCCAGACTGCCAGGTGGTGAGCCCATTGATGTGCCTCTGGGAAAGGTACTGCGAGAGGCATTCTCAGAAACAGTGTGGTGTTTTCTTTTCCCACACAGATGGAAAGGCAATTCCTTGCTATTGATTGCACTAATTTTCTATAGGGTCTTGCAAGACTTGCATACTCCGCGGGTTAGCCTGTTATAGAACGATCATTGCCTCATCTGCAATTGGCTTGAGCAGTGTCAGTTTCCTTTAGTTTCCTTCTGTCTCTTTAAAATTCCACCTTCTAAAAGAAGGCTTACGTAGTCGTTTTTCCTAAATCAGTTCTCATTATCCAAGTTTCTTCCCTGTGATTCCTCATCCACTAGAAAAGACATCTCTGCTCAAGCATTATTTTTCATTTTTGGAATGAAACTTTTAAAAGGCTCATTTCAAAGCTATTCTTATCTTCCTCCTCAACAAAGGCAAATTATCTCAAAATATTTCCAGCTTCACTCATGACTGCATAAACTAATGAGCTAACCTTCTCCTTCTGCCAGTCTTTCCTTTAAATTTTGATGTATGTCAAACTGAGAAAATGCTTCTTCTCCTCAAGTGTCATTTATTACATTCTATGAAGATAAAACGTTGGAAAGGTCCAGTTTACCATTTTGTTTATTCTAGGGGGAAAAAAGAAATCACATTTTGTTTCCCCGTTGTCATAACAATGATAAATGAGAGACTTCCACCTGGTACTGAACAAGAAGCTATCTGCCCAAATATTTTCCCTGTTTACTGACTCTTGCGTATTTGTCCGAGTTCCTGCTTTGTGTTTGAAAGCCCCGCACAGCGCAATGCTGTCAGCAGCGCGGAAGGACGGACCGTGTCGCAGAAGGCGCTGTAAACAGAGGGTAAAGCACCCAGATAGAAAAAAGCTGATACTAAACTAGGAAATGTTTCTGCCAAACGTTGTGACTAGTGCTGCTACGTGCACCGTTTCAGCCGATTATAAAAGGCAAAACCAAGTACAAGACATGTATCTTGTAGAAAAATCACGGTCCAACAAGCATCCGCAGCTATTGCCGGGTCCCTGCCCCGCTCCTCAGGACCGCAGTTAAGGGCAAAGGGCTGCCAGGCTGCCGGGTGGGGAATCCTCCCCTTCCGAGCCTATGCAGCGAGAGCTCCTCGCACCCAGCGCCGCATTGCTTCCAGCCCCAGAGCTATTGTTTCCCACCGAGGTCTCCTAAGAAACAACACTTCCACCGAGTTTTCGCTCTGCCCTCCCCGTCCCCTTGGCCCTCGGAGCGCGGCGCCGGCCCCGGGCAGAGCGCGGGCACAGCCGGGACCGGCCGCGGGCTCTGCCCGCCCGGGGGATCCCCGCACCGCGGCGGGCGAACCCCGCAGCCGCCGGCGCGGAGCCGCCGCTCCCGCCGCTGACCGCCCGGCCACCGCCGGCTCCCCCCGGGCGGCCGCGGCCCCCCGCCCGGGCTGCCCGGCCACAACTCGGCATTGTCCCTCCAGGCGCGACCAGGAGTCCAGGGGCTGGAAGATGATGTCAGCCGGGGGCGGACTGCGGCAAGGCTGCGCCCACCCCGGCGAGCCCCCCGCCGCGGAGCCCTCGCCCACCGCCGGCAGCGCTCCGCGGGCGCGGAGGGAGGGACGCGCCGCTCGGGGATGCCGCAGCCGCAGCTCTCGCCTGACTGGCACATCCCGAAGGAGCTCCTCATGAATATGCACAGCCTCCCCCGAGCGCCGGCCGCGGGATGCCGCCACCCTGGGGGCTCCCCGCCGAGCCCCGCGCCCCTGGCCGGGGATGAGGGCTGCCTTCGGAGAGCGGCCGTTCGCTGCTGTCCTTACCCTTTGGCTCGTCCATCAGTGCCGGCGCTCGCTCCCTCCTCCCGCGCTCCCCCCTCCTTCCTCTCTCAGCCTCTGCCGGCTCCGAGCTGCCTTAGTGAGAGGTACTCGAGACGGGGGAGCTTTAGTGGTCCTTTAGTGGTGGGAGGGGTTAGTTAAGTCTACATGACTCAATCCGTATAAGTTGCAGGCTGACCTCCTGCTTTTCTCAGAGCACGGATCGCCTCGGAGCTGCCACGTTACCAGCGCCTCGGACTTCTCCACCGGGCCGGAGGGTCCCGCACGGCCGGGGGCAGCGGTGCGTGCCCGGGGCTACCCGAGAGAACCGGGGCGCTGGAGCAGGACTGCATGCCCGGCTCGGGGGCAGAAGGGCATTGTGGCTAGAGAGAGAAAGTGCTTTGTTAGAGTAGGGTTTTTTTTGTGGTTTTTGATTTTTCTGAAGTCACACGAGACTGAGAAGATACCCTCCACACCAGTGAGGTACACAAAAGGTAGTGTCCAGAGAAGAGGTGACCTTCCTTGTTTCTGGATCTGAGGCCCCCCCCACATGAAAAAACCTCAACCAAATCATGAAAGGAGACAAAGTGGCAAAAACTGTTGAAAAATAATTTCCTGCCCCCTACCTGTCCCATAGAATGGACTCACACCTCTGGCTGTATCTCCTGGGAAACTTCGTGAAAGACACAAATTTAGACTTCTTGCCTGAAAGGCCTGAAGGGATCCTACCCTCCATCACTTTTTAATCCTGAGTCACCACAAATAAGAACTACAGGGTAGTGCTGGAGGGGTCTCAGCAAATTTTCTCCATAGCTTATGACATTCAGTCCTGTTCCAGGAACCAGAAGTGTCTCCACACTACTGCTTACAGAGCTGTCAGCCTCCCGCTGCAAAGGAAGTTGTGAACCAACCTGGCTCTTTCACTTTCTTTTCAGAGAAGTGGACATCAGCTTCTCAGCATCTTCCCTACTGGCCACTCACAGGGAGAAGTCACCTGGGGCACAGGCCACCAGAATGTGCAGCCAGCTGCCCTGCCTGTGCCAGAGCCTGCTCCCCTCTCAGAGCCGCCACTTCTACTTTCTCTGTGTGGCTAGGCACCATCCACCTCTGTGCCTACCACCAGTTTCCAGAGTTCTTTCCCCTAGGAGAGACAGGAAAAGCAGAATCCTTATGCTAGGACCTGGAGAATGACTTCTGGACATGGGGTTTCAAATCCCTTTTAGCCATCACAAACAATGATCGGTTCCTTCTCCTTCACAAACAAATATTGACCTGGCTTGTATTACTCCAGCTGGTAAGGCAACACTCCCATTTAAAATCTTCCTGGAAATAAGAAAATGAGGATCAATGAAATAAAACAATATACGTGACCTTATCACTCTCTACAACCTCCTGAAAGGTGGGGGTAGTAACATGGGGATTGGTCTCTTTCACCAGGCAGCAGCTGACAGAACCAGAGGACACAGTCTTAAGCTGCATCAAGGGAAATATATGTTGGATATTAGGGAAAAGCTTTTCACAGGATGAGTGATGAAGTTCTGCAATGGCCTGCCTGGGGAGGTGGTGGAGTCACCATCCCTGGATGTGTTTAAAAAAAGACTGGATGTGGCACTTGGTGCCATGGCTTGGTTAAGGTGTTAGGGCACGGGTTGGGCTCAATGATCTTGAAGGTCTCTTCCAACACAGTGATTCTGTGATAATTTAGGTTTTAGTGATTAGATTCTTTGTGAATTACTTTACTGTTGGTTTAAAAGCTCAAAGAGGAGTGTTTCATGAGATGAAGGTAGACACAGTGTTTGTCATCTTAATGAGAAAAATTGGCCTGGGAAGTGCAAGAAAGAACTGATCTTACTTCAAGTTATAAGACAGCAACATAATTAAATGGTTTAGCATGGCAGAAGTAATTTTGTTGGTCACCTTGAATTTCAGTATTTTTAAAAAATAGTATTGTAGTTGATGCAATGCTTAGTTAATAAATGAAAATTTAAAACTATTCACTGTAATAAGTATCGACTGCACAGATTTATCAGTAAGAAATACATGTTTTTGTTTTTTTTAAAAAAAACCCCAAAACCTTGGAAAAAGTATGAATCCTTATGTAATACCAGCTTACACACTGACTTCCCCAAAGGATACTTGCTGGCAGAATATCATCACAGGAAATAAACCAAATATATACAAAAATGCCATACATTGAATAAATTGACTTAACTGAACAGTAGTTTTAAAAAATAGCTGGAATTCAGGACTGATTTTTCAAATGCTGGGTCAGACTCACTCTCTCTACAGGCAGAAATTCAATAATCTCAGTTAGCTGAGCTCATCTATGAGCTGAGAAATCCAAGTTTAACAATTGGAAGATATGTACAAGCTCCCCTCAGAGCAAAATAGATATGATTTCACACCATGTTGAACACCTCTTAGGATGCCCAGAGCCATGTATTTCAAGTCCTTTATATGCACCTGACAAACCACAATAAGCTTTTTTTATAGCGGTCTGCCAGTGACAGATTTTTGTTTATTTTTTTGCCTTAGGAAAGTTCACTTTCAAGCTGAGACACATGAAACTTCTATGGGGAAGGATGATAGATGATCAGACAGTGACCATGAAGCACACAGCAGTGTTTTCACACAAGAGGAAGCTGTTACCAAAGCCCCGTGGGGAAGAATTGCCGTGAACAGGTCTACTACACCTAAAAATATCCCGGTTATTCACAGAGCCACAGGGAACAGATTTCTGTGTTCTGTAGCAGGATGATCTCTTTTAACTGATGGACTGATGCACTTGTATTATTCCACAGCTGCAAGAGCAGGGAGCAGTGGCATTAGACACTCTTCTGCAGCCATTCAGTTTAGGTGTAAGAGACGGTGAAGAAACGCTTTCCCCATCCTCTGTCACAGCCCAAAGGGAAGAATGGACTTTTTAGCCTCACGTGGCATGAGATGCAGAATTCCCCTTCCACAGAGGGTCAGATCCACGTTTGCTAGAGCAGTTTGGTTCTGTCTGCTGATCCTCCTGCCTTCGGACAAATCTCTGCCTGCAATACACGAACCAGCAGAAGGCAACAGCAGATTCTTTGTCGAAGTCATTTCCATAAGAAAACAAAATGAGGAAAAAGAGAGCAGCCCCGGAGGGAGGCCAGAGGCCGGCATTTGTACTCAGATAAGGCTCCAGACAGCTGAGGAGGAAGCTTGAAGCACAAATAAAAAGAGGAAACTAGAGTACTCAGGATGTAGTTTCCACACATCTTGAGCAGGGGGTAAGAATAGTAGCAAAAAACCCAGAGTGCCACTTTTCTACTCCCAGGGCAAAACTGAGCATCCTGAGCGAACCTGGAGGAACAAAATACATCTTAAATATCCACATTCTTCCTAGCCATACTAAGAACTTATTTACAATAATTTTTGCTCGAAGTTTACACAAGTTGTGTGTGTGTGTTGGTTTGTGGCTAAAATTATGCAACTTCCTAGATCTGTAGAATTTGCTATTTTGCAGATGAGCTATGCTGATTTTGGGACTAAGGAGGGGAGCAAGAGTGACTGAGGACTAGCTTCATTTCTGCATTTCATTTCTGCATTTCCAGAAAACAGGAGATGAAATTGAAATAATAAAGCTGGAATCCAGGGCCAGAACTTCTTATCTTTGGGATGGGTGAAAGAAACATCCATAGGAAAAGAGATTTAGGGAGCATGAAAACAAACCTATAGACATTAGATGCACAAGTAGCTTGTTTCTACAGAAAGAATTGGTATGAAAGAATCTGAAATATTTTAAATGAAAACAGGCCATCCCATCACTAAGATCAACAATATTGAAGTCTGTATTTGCTTAGGAGTCCGAGGGTATGTGTTTAGATTGCAATTTATCAAGTCCTTGGGCTTTGCCAGGCATTCAGTCCCAGTGTGCTGGCTCGTGTCACCACTGAGCAGCCATCAGCCTTGGGAGCAGAGACAGAAAAGGTACACAGGCCTCCTTCCCCAGCATCTCTGAAACACCATAAAAGATGAAGGTCTCCAAAAAAGCAGTGAACATGTTAAGTTGCTGGGACCAGAAGGAGCAGAATGCTCTGCAAAGGGACAGTAATCCAAGAGATTAGGACAACTTCCTTCTGGAAAGAAAGGCAGAGAAGAGGGGCCAGGCATTAAAAAAAGACACAAAGCCAAAACCATCCCTAGTGCCAGATTCTTTTTTTTTACAGCTTCCAGCTCCTTGGCCCACTCATCCCACGTTGCAATCACCTCAGACTTGACAGTTTTCACAACACAGTAGGCCAAGTCCTCCCCACATCTCCGGATTCCTCTAAATACTTGAAGTTCAAATGCTTAATTTAGATTCCCCAAACACTTCTTTTGTGTAAAGCAAACTTCTTGGATGGCTCCTGACGAAACAGACAAACAAGCAATGAGCTATACAGTATCTGTGTGCACTAAACATTACCTTTTAAGAATGTAATTCTTGGAAAAGAAAAATAATCTACTTTTGGTATTTAGGTAAAAAGATGAGATGACGTTCAGCTTCATCTTGCCACAAACAAGTATTGCTCTTTAGCCTTAAACGTATGAAATACACTGTCTATTAAAAGCATTTAAGTTTCTTTCCATCATCTTACTTCCTTGTCTTGGTTTAAATATTTGTAATTGTCCTTTCAGAAAAGGTCCCTATGCTGTATTTAATGCCACTATTCACAGGCATTGTCACCCAAAACCTGTGTATCACCTTTATCACCTTGAGATTGGCTCTGCTGGTTAGAGCATAGTACTGAAATCACCAAGGTTGTGGGTTTGGTCTCTGCATGGAGATTTGTCTGTTTCTGTTTATCATTTTTGTGATACAGGGATAATAGTGCTCAGATGGCATCTGCAGAGCAACTGTTCAACTGTGTTTGTATGATTTCTACAAAACTGAGAACACAGAATTAATGATGTTCATTGAAACTGGCAAAAAAGGTTCCTGTGCCTTTGTAGAGGTGAATCAATTCTCTAGTTATTCCGCTAGGTTTGTTTTTCTAGTGAAGAAAATATGTATATTTACACAATAAATGAAATACATTAACACTCTTATTGTTAAAAATTCACAAAACTTCATCAAAACATGTAGAAAACTCCTATGGTCAGTCTCAGTATGAATGATGGGCACTGACACATGATTTGAAAGGAGCCGTACCAAAGTCCCACTCTCTAACACCTTAAACTGCCCACCTAGTTTGCATATTCATTAGCAAATTTTCTAATTTCTATCTAATTTCTAATTAGCAAATTATCTAATAATTAAGGTGAAACTCTTTCACATGCTTGCAGTGCCTTATTCTATAGGTTCAACATACTTTCAATACAAGTCTCATAATATCATTAAAGATTATATTACTAACTGCATTTAACCTTACAAACACACGTTAACATACTAAAAGTAAAAACAATTAGTCTTTTTATGCTCTACGACTTAGTGTAAAAAAAAGTATGTCCTGAAAAGGAACGTGTTATTGCTCATAAACTAGTTAACAAAACACCAGTTGCTCTTTCTGTTCAGGCTATTTCATATACTTGGTACTTTACCCATGTCACTCTAAATACAATAAACCAAATTTACAGAGTATTAATTTTGTTTGATAATTTTAACAAAACTGTCACAGTCCCAGTCATAAGCAACACCCAGCCCCACAAGTCTGCTGCTCAGATTGTTAGTCATTGTATTTATCCAGGACATGGTACTTCCCTGCTGGCAACAAAGCTCTTGCTTTTCCTTCCAAGTAATGGCAGAGCTAGGAATAGCTATTATTATAGGTTTTTAGTAGATGCACAAGTGCTAGTGGCATTTTCAAGACTTTTTATCTTTTATTCTTATAATTTGCATCTCTTTGTATCTTGTAACTATTTTATATTGTCAGGAACAGCAGACAATCCCTATAATGGCTCACTGGAGTGAAAATTTCCAACATTCCAGTGTTCCCAGGGTAGGAAGCACAGAGCAACTAATAACATCTTAAATGTGAGGTTCAGTATTATGGGGTCACAATATCTAGAAGACAAAGGAGCTCTATAAAAAGAAATAGTTGAGTTTTATGAAAAGGTACTCCAGTAGAAGAAAGAAAAAGGGAAGGAAAACACAGAAAAATATCCTCAAAGCTCTAAGAGGATATAACAAGAAAAAAAAAACTAGGGAGTGTCAGAACAATAAGTGATAACTATATCCTGAATTGATAAGGGAAGATAGTGAGTGCCAGTTGCCCCATTTAACATGCAGGGTACCTCCCAAACTTGGTAAATTAAAGACAGAAAATAAAAAAATGTGAAGCAGTAGCACGCAAACGGGCCTTGTATAACTGCTGCCTTAAGACTGAAGAAAGGAAGGAAACCATTTTATTACCAGCTTATCTCAGTGTTTTTATGACCAATCTGAATTTATCATGCAGCACCTTCGTAGCTAAGGCAAAAATATATATACAAACCATCTCAAAGCAGATATTTCCTAAAAAATGAACTGCACATATTTAGACCAGATTGTCACTCAATCTTAGTGTTTCTTCAGAAGAATAAAAGTAGACATCACGTGGAAAACATACGTAAAATGAAAAAGAATAACTTTAAAATAAATGCTTTTCAAATGTCGGAATTCAGCTTGACTACCCACTCACCCTCTGTTAAGTGATTCGGTCTTTATTAAGTGAGCATCCACAGAGGAAACAAGCAGCAGCATGGTGATGCATTGTCCATCAGATGTCACTCAGTTAATAGCAGAAGAAGATTTGGCTGTGTCCATCCAGAAGGACAATCTGAAGACAGCGGCAAAAAGGGAAAGATCTTTAAATCTCCAGCCATCTCTGATTTGCATTTATTTGTTAACCACAGCCATAAATAAACCCATGATAAATCACCCACCTGCTTTCCTGTGTTCTAGAAGCATAAAATGTTCTCCCTCTTAAGAAACTCAGATGCAAACTTTGCTTTGGAAGATAATGAAATTGGTTATTTACCACCCTTGATCAAAATCTCCACAACTGTGAAAACCTGCTGCCCTCTCTACATCCCACCTCACTTCACCATGTGCCCGTGCCGAGCTTACGCAAGTCCATGAGCACCATGGAGAACTATCTATAGAGACGAGAGCTCCTGGATATTTTCACACTTGCTTTTGGATTCTCGCTGCCAGATTTTTCTCCCTGTGGGTTTATGTACGTTTTACATGACTTCTTTTACATGCATTTCAGTGTGGTCATCTTTATTTAGTCTCCAAGAAGTTTCCTGCTCTTTAATTTTGCACTTCAAGAGACTGAGAAAGGAGACTTCAAAGAAGTCCCAAATTTTAGGAAATAATATATATCCAGCACAGTGGTGATTGATATTTATTACTTCCACAGGTTTTAGTAGTTTTGCTTTATATATAGTCTTCTTCAATCCATTTCAATTCTCTTTGAACTAGCTGAAAAAAATAAGAAACCATATGTTTAAAGCAAGCAAATATTTATTTTTTAGTCTTTGCTCTGATTTAAAAATTTTGGGAAAATTTACATTGTTTAAAAAATTTTGGGAAAATGGTTACGATCAGTCAGTTCCAGTTGTGTCAAGCTTCATGCTTCATGCTCAATTCTAAATTGAGAAAATTTATGAAATGCAGTGTTTGTGCATGTATTTATAAAGGAGGATTGGTTTGAGATCCATAAATTCATACCTACTGACTACATGATATAAATGGCTTTTCAATCCTTCTATTTCCCTTAGTGGTTTTCCCTTTTTTCACCACTGACTACAAGTTATTAACTACAACACTGTGTCGTACTCACAGATCTGCCTCCTTACTAAATATACGCAGATCCTTTCAAAGCACATTTTCTCCTTGAGCTGTTCTGTGTACCAAAATGTGTGCTTTCATCATTCAGCATGCAGGAAGCATCCTTCATCCACTTTTCCCTGAACACATCTCCAACTTGGCATCCAGTTTAAACTGTCATTTGTATTGTCAGTATTTTCCCCATATAAACTCAGCAGTGTCTTCACCTACTTAAATGTGTAAGTATATTCTTGTCCAACAATCTTGGTTCTAGAAATAGCCTTTCTACATCTCTCAGCTACATCAGATGGTTGAGCCTTTTCAAGTTGAAAACATTTTTTTTAAGTTAAATATCCCTGTTTCTCTCATTCTGTCGTTAAATCATTAACTCTTCAAACCTCTGACCTGACAGCACCAATAAAATAAATTCTATTAACTCAAATCTCCATTTAGTAAGCTATTTCCTACAGTAGGAAATTTCAATATTTTTCATCATTATTTTCGTATGTGTGAGAGTTATGTCAGTATTTCTCCCAAGCATTCTTTGGCAAAAAGAAAGTTACAAAGGGAACCAAATTATATGAATAGGTATTCACAGGAATACCTATGATAACTTTTCCTATAAAGGAAAGGTTTAGGTATGAAAAAATATTCCCAACTGAAAAGATTTAGGAAAGACTAGACAAATATGCTTGACTGTCATTTTAAGGAATTCCTGCACAGAAGTTTCTTTTCCAAGGAAACTGTCACATTTCCAAACATTTTGCACAACACACTTTCTGGCACAGTGGTTTGCTTTCTTTTTTTTTTTTTTTTTTTTCCTATCAGAAATAAGATACCTTAACTATCTCAGTTACAAATTAGCCGGCTCTGAAATAATTCTCATTTGCAGACAAAACCCTACTCGTTAGGTACTAGCCTTTCCCAGGTGTGCTCACCACACTTGGAATAAGGATGTATCCACCTGCTGAGATTCTCCTGGTGATATTTCCAGCAGAGATTTCATTGTATGGCAGCAAATGCATTAGAGAAGCAAAAAATTATATGCAGCCTTGGGTGACATTCAGGTGGGGAGGGATGGTGGAGCTGTAGCAGGACCAACCTGGCTTGGGAAAGGATTCTGTGCCAGAGCTCCTGACTCAGCCCTTGGAGCTCCAGCCCTGCTGTGCCCAGGAAGGCCCTGTGAGGAATGGATAATCAAAGGCTGTCATTTGTGAGCAGATATTAATTTGAATAGTACTGCAGGATGGCTCTCAGGATATTGGGAGAGTGGTTCTGTTGTGTGGATCACAGGCTTTCAGCAGGGGCTCATGTCACCAATCCATTACTTACTTAGACATTAAAATACAGCATGCAGAAAAAAGAGAAAAAAAAAAAAGTTTTTAGCCCTCTGAAATTATCTGAGCTAACAGACACATCTGTTCAATTAACTTTTTCATCTTCAGTCTTAGAAGATACTAAAGCAAAAAAATAACACCAAAAAAGTGAACCCAGTGAATAGTTCTAGTTTCAAATCCATTAGAAGATGTCGTATTTCAAACACCCTATACGTATTTCAAATTTCTTAAGGGTGTACATGCAGTTTATTTCTCTATATTTGTTGCTGATCTTTGAAGACCTGTGAGTCATTAAGTAAAATTTTTGTACCCCATGCAAAAAGCCACAGAAAGAACAACTGTCTGTAGAAACTACAGATTTCACTTCTACTGTTCTCTCTCCTATTGAGCAGACTTCCTCTAACTCAGCTGCATCTACTAGAACATTACATCACAGAAAAATCTAACAGGCTAAAAATATGTTTTGTAGGTATAATCTTAATTACATTCAGGTTTAAAAGATTTAGTAACCTTGGAGATAGAAAACAGTGCTAGAAATTATTATTTTTAGCATCAAGGAACTTCTCCAAGCAACACAGTGTAAAAATATACGAGGTCAGTACACTTTGGAGAATTCAGATGTTTTATCCTCTTATGGTCTAAACTACAATACATTTAAACTATATTACTCTGGATCAATTTTCTCCCCACAAATTTTTAGTCCATATGACCAAAGAAATTACACAGACACATGAAGATGTACAAGAATTTTAAGCACACCGTTCTTATAAACTGAGCTTGGCTCAATAAAACAGGGTTTTTCACTTGCTTTCAAGACAACATTCACTGCTTTAAATAATTTGCAATATAGAGAGCAGAAGTTTCAAGTGGTGACCTAAACTTGAAGACAACTGAAGTCATTTCTCTGGGTGCCGTGGGTTTTTTGTATGCCACTCATAAATGAAAAGTGCTCAGGCTGCAGCCACAGGCCAAAGTGCTGTGCAGGAGTGCTATGGCAACAACAATCACATTATTTAGTCCTGTTAAAAATGTTTGTGTAGTGACAGTCCCACCCATGCTCCTCTCTCCATTTGTTAGGAACATGCAAATTGCTTGAACAAACACAGCAGCATGCCAACCCTCTCCATACCCTCACTGGGTAACAAGTGTGAGTGAATGTGACTGTAGGAGAAAATAGAATAGTTACTCACACAGTACTTTCAAATATCTGTTAATAACAGCTTGCTTTTATTAATAGCATATTCATTTCTGCTAAAAAAAGGGGAATTTCTTCTAATATTGAAAGAGATTCTCCCCGACTTGACACCTTACCAGGGAAGTGCACTGCATAGTGATATTTGCTTGACTTTTGTTAGTTAAGTGAAGAATGCACACAAAAATCTTCTAGCTCAGAACAAATGAAAATTTGAGTTTCAACATAGTGACAAAGGCTATATGAAAGGGTATGTGCTGAAGATTCATGAATAAGATTTACCAGAAGGACATATGTGGGTAACAGTCATTGCATCCAATATTTCCCAAAGTGCTCCGATTTCTCATAAGCTTCTTCCCTGATGTAACTCTAATTTTTACAAGCTGAACAGGTGGTGAGATTTCCCAGCCATAAAGGGCAGGTCACACTTTCCTCTACCAAAAATCAATTTAAGCAGGCTGAGAAAAATTGAATGGCCCTGGAAATCACAGAGGTCGATTCCTCCCTGGAGCCATTGAACACTGCCTGCTGCAGTAACTGGCACATATTTTCCCATCGAAAGAAAACAGAATTTAAGACAGCTTGGTTTAAATACAGGCAAAATTAAATACTCAACATGGGAACAACAGGGTTCTTTGTGGTAGGGAATTTTTTTTTTTCTCTGAGTGCTGGCAGATTAGCCTCGATCTATTCTGCTTCTCTGTTGCTCGTTGTGCTATTCATTATTACTATTTTTTATATATTCTGTTTCAAATAACAGTCTAGAATTCAGGGAAAAGCATTACCTACTGCTGTGACACAGGCCTGCCTAGCAGTATGAAATAGGAAAATGCATTTTCCCAGAGTAATCTTCTACTTAAAATTCAAGCTCCTGAAATTTCAGGAGGGAGTGGGGGACTGGGTGGTGGGCTACAGGAGCACGCACAAACACAAACACTGCCAACCTCAGGCTGTTCATATTTTTTGCACATTTTTTTCCCATCTTTCAGCTTCTGCCTCAGCAAGATTTTTGCTTTGATTCTGTAATATTTCACTTTCCTTTGCACCCTTATCCCATCTATTTATTTCTCTCTTTTAAGTGTTCTCTTCTCTCATTTCTCCTTTTCTTCTTTCATATTTTTACATCAGGCTTTTTCACCTTAGGTTTTAATCTGTTTCTTTTCTGTGGAGAGGATTTCGTTCTTCCATTTCTTACTGTTGGTGTGCTTTTATGCCTAATAAATTCTGAATGAAATGCTGCTAAACTGAGTTTAAAGCACAAAGACTTGTTTTACTTTAGAAAAAACTGCAATAACGTTCCTTGAAATTATTTCCAGATGTTGTCTTTAAGAGTATGTTAAATTTGACAGCATGTACTGTGTACTAGGGTTGCAGAATTTATGTAGTAGTCTGTCATCACTGCGCTGAATGACTGTCAATAAGAGACCTAACAAACATCCTGCAGATATTAATATACTTATTTTTGGAACATAATAA